GTGCAGCCTCTCCCCTCCCACTCCTGTTGAAGGGAGTTTCGCTGGGGGCTGAACCCTGAAGAGGGTGAAGGAGGAGCTGCAGGGATACAGCAACACAAAGGGCCTGAGGTGGACAGGGTGTGGCTGGTTGTTAGGGTCATGAGGAGGCCCCGGCCACTGAGGGAGGGGGGTGTGGGGGGGGGGGGCCCCGCCAATAGTGTCTAATCACATCATATAGAGTCCCTTGATAACAAGGCTACTTAGACTTCTTAGACGTCTCTCATTGTGGATGTACATGCTGTAGTTTGGTTGTTGGATGTCCCAGCCATGTACATTGGCGCACGCCTTTGATCCCAGGACTGAGGAGGCAGAGGCAGGTGGATCTTTTAATTCAGTGCCAGCCAGGTCTACAGAGACAATTCCAGGACAGCCAGGGTCACATAGAGAAATCCTATCTCAGTAAAAACAAACTAAAGACAGGCATGTTCTCCTGAACCAAGGCTGATCAAACATGCTATGTAGCTGAGAGTGGCCTTGAACTCCTTATCCTCCTGCTTCTAGCCTAGTGCCAGGATTACAGGCACTGCCACCATAGCCAGCAGTAGGTTTGTGTTATTTGTTAGATTTGGAGACAGTTATACTGTCACCTAGTTGGGCCAGGAAGTTGAGATTCTCCTGCCTCAGCCTCCAGAACATCAGCACGTGCTAGTGAATACCCACGACAGTACTGCTAATGTTAACACTGAGGACATCATTCCTTTTGCAGCAAGCCCTGGATGAAAACATGGACCTCTTGGAAGGCATAACTGGCTTTGAAGATTCTGTCCGAAAATGTGAGTCCTCTCTGGTGTGGGTTCCTGAGGGGCTGGGGACAGTGGCAGCAGGGTGCTAAGAAATGGCCTCCTCACTGTTCTATAAGTGGTGTGACCTAGGAGAATGGAGCTGGCAAACAAAGCAGACTACAGTCTCATGTAGTAGCCAACTTTATCCAGAGCATCAGACAGTTTATACTCTGAGGCTAAGAAAGATCACATGAGCCGGGCGTTGGTGGCGCACGCCTTTAATCCCAGCACTCGGGGCAGAGGCAGGCCGATCTCTGTTCGTTCGAGACCACCCTAGTCTACAAGCGTGAGTGCCAGGACAGCCTCCAAAGCCACAGAGAAACCCTGTCTTGAAAAACAAAACAAAAAAGATCACAATGCGCAAAGTTCACAGGAGTGCAAGCCCTTTACAATCACAAGGATAAGCTGTTGGGAAACATTTTTTGTTTTTCTTTTGGATTATTTTGAGACAGGGTTTCTCTGCATAGCCCTGGTGTCCTGGAACTTGCTCTGTAAACCAGGTTGTCCGTATACTCAGAGATCCGCCTGCCTCTGCCTCCTGAGTTAAAGGCCTGTGCCACTACCTCTGACTTGGGAAATTTTTTTTTTGAATAACAAAAATTAGCAACAATGTGTAAGCTGAAGCAAACCCCCTCCTGTATACTATCCTTGGGAGGGGCACAAAAGTACCTGCCAAGAACAAACCCATATTATGGAAGAACAGAAATGGAGGTCACAAGACTCTTGTCTTGTTTTCTTGGAGTTTTCTCATAAGCTCTTAGAATTCTTCTCACACAGCTGCATTCTTAGACCATGTTCTGACAGCCTCTCACAGTCTTTGTTTTGATTTCCACAGTTATCTGCCATGTGGTGGGCATCACGTACCAGCACATCGACCGCTGGCTGCTTGCTGAGATGCTTGGTGATCTGACTGGTGAGGCCTGGTGTTTGTGATCAGGCAGTTGGGGAACTCAGCTAGCCAGGGAGGACCCATCACACCATTTCTGGGTTATTACCTGGTCCAGAGAGAGGCGAACGGTTTGGTAAAGGATGCTGCCCTCTGAATTTCTGTGAGTTCAAGGCCAGCCAGCACCTCATAGTGAGACCCTGGCTCAAAAGCAAGTTGCTGCCCCCACCAGGTATGTGGTCCACCTGGAATCCCAGCGATAGGAAGCTGGCGCAAGAGGATTGTCTGGAATGCTAGCTGTGTCAGGCAATGGTCCTGATGCTGGCTGGGTAGTGACAAGAGCTCAGACCTTTTTCATAGATGGAGCAAAATGGAGAAGTTGTTTGCATTGACATGGTGCTGCGAGGGTAGTGAGGCCACTTTAGAGGGGTGGCATCTGGCAGGGCCTCTGTGCCTTGAGCTGGACACTCTGAGAAGAAAGTATGGATGTGGAAAGCCTACAGCAGGGACCTGCCTGCCATGTGTGCCAGTGGAAGCAGCAGCATGGTTGGATGAGAAAGCAACTTTCTTGCAGTCGTGTGGGAGACTTGAGAGGACCTCCGTGGCCTTTGCTCTGGAGTGATGAGGGACATAGGAAGGAAGACTCTAGTTAGGGGCCAACCGTGATCAGAGTGATGTCATAAAAACATTTGCAAAAAGAAGCGTGGGGCTGGAGAAGGTCTAGCAGTTAAGAACACATGCTTGAGGGTCCTAGCATCCATCACCAGTAGTTCACAGCACCAAGAAATTCAGTGTAATCTCCGGCCCTGGGAGCACCTGTGTACATTCACACTTGTACACACAAATAAAAGTTTTGAGGGTTTTTGTTGTTGTTGTTGTTTAAGAAATAGAAAGGAACATGAGAAACTAGGGGAAACTGGACCTCGGGGCAACATTCTATAATCCCAGTACTTGGGGGAGAGAGAGAGCAGGATTAGGGGTTTAAGTCATCCTCAGCCACGAGGTGAATTCTATACCACCTTGGCTACAAGAAACCCTTCTCAAAAATGAAACAAAAACCCTATGTGCCTAAGATAAAGAGGCTAGTGGCAGGCCAGGCAGTGGTCCATACACCTTTAATCCTAGCACCCGAGGGCCAGAAGTATCCAATCTCTGAGTTTGAGGCCAGCCTGTCTACAGAGTTCCAGGACAGGTCCAAAGCTATACAGAGAAACTCTTGTCTCTGGAATTTAAAAAAAAGGAAAAAGAAAACAAAAAGAGGCTAGTGGCACCCCCTAGTGGCCAAGTGGATAATAAGCCCCCAGAAGGCAGGTTTCGTCCTAAAGGCAGGAGTTGCCTAGAACACTTGGTCCAAGGGGGCCTGGCTTGGTGACCCCTCATTTCCCTGCCTCCAAAGCCTCTGGGATTTAAGAGTTCAGGCAGCCAACACCTCCACCCTGCCCATGTCACCTGCAGACAACCAGCTCAAGGTGTGGATGAGCAAGTATGGCTGGAGCGCTGACGAGTCAGGGCAGATTTTCATCTGCAGCCAGGAAGAGAGCATAAAGCCCAAAAACATCGTGGAGAAGATCGACTTTGACAGTGAGTGGCCTGGGGCCCCAGACTGTGGGGAGACACGATACCCTTAGAGCGAGCAGGTGGGGTCTGCAGAGCGCAAGGTGGAGCCCTCCCTTCCTGGGCTGGGAACTCGTTCAGGTTGTTACTCCAGGGAGAATCAGTGAGGGGGGGGTGGTCCCATCCCCTGCTTCATGGCTGCCTGTACCAGACTAGTCTTGCTTCTCCTATTAAAAAGGCGAGTGACTGCTGGGCGGTGGTGGCACACGCCTTTAAGCCCAGCAATCCGGAGGCAGAGGCAGGCGGATCTACAGACTGAGTTCCAGCCAGGACTGTTACACAGAGAAACCCTATCTCAAAAAAACCACAAAAAAAAAAAATGACGATAGCAGTCATGACAGCCAGTGGTTCTTTATGATTCATTTAGTCCTACCATAAGATAGTTGCTCGTTGTAACTTGGAAATGAATAAAAGGCATTGTGCCTGCTTCCCAGAAGGGTCACTGTGAAGGGAGATCATCTTGTAGGGCACTCAGCCAAGGGCCAGAGCTCAGGGAATGTGGGTTACGTCATGCTTTAAGTAAACAGATTTAGCTAAAGAGAACAAAAAGCAGGTGTGGCAGCTTACGTCTTTAGTCTTAGCACTTAGGAGGCAGGAGGCCAGCCTGGGCTACCTGGTAAACTACTGTCTTTAAATAAGTAAGTAATAACTAAGATTTTAAAGTGATGCAGGCAGTCAGCTAGGTGCCCAGCCTCACTCTGCTGCCTGGTGAGCAAATGTCAAGTAGAGAAGAAAGGCAGGGACAGGTCTCCCCATGGGTTCCCCCCCTGTTCTCCCCGTGGACCAAGTTGAGCAGCGGTAAGCTGTGTCATTTCCACACTTGGCACCCTCCACCATCCAGGCAGTGCTCATCGTGTCTGGGTCTCAGAATTCCACAAAATGTTCTTTGTTCAGTGGAGAGCTACAGGCCAGGCCAGTGTCTAGCAAGTAGCCTATGAAAGTACGGAGAACAGGGTTAAAGGCACAGAATACTTAGTACCAGATGTGCTCAAGCACTTTATTTAACCCTTATAAGATAGGTGCTTTATACAAAAGGGGAAACTGAGGCACGGAGCTATTAAGAACATGTCCAAGACTACAAAACTACAGCACCAAACTGCTTTTGTGATTGTGACCTGGCCCAAAAGGACATCGTCTTCCTCCTTTTCCCAAATTTACCATTTTCTTCTTCTCAACAGGTGTGTCCAGCATCATGGCCTCCTCCCAATAACTGCTGTTTTCCTTTAATAAAGACTCCTTTACCCTACCCTGCTGTCTTCTGCCCCTTCCTCAATGAGCCAACTTGTGGCCTGAGCCGAGGCCTCTTCTTGGGC